CAAACATTCCTTCTGATGTTGAATTTTGTCAAGAATGCAGTATTTTGTGCAATAAAATTGAAAAGAAATTCAGGCTTTTTCCAGTTCTGTGGTCTTACGTGAAAAAGGGTGCACTTCAGATTTTGCCCTTATTGGAATGACTATATTCTCTACAAAAAACACCTAGAAAGCTTGGTTWTGGGGTTAGCAGCCGTGGAATATAGCAGACAACACAATCAAAACATCGTTAGCAACATGACTATTAAATTGAGAAAATGCGATTTTTTTTAACAGTGGCCTATGTTAAGTCCGCATGCCGGTAAAAGGGTTAAAAKCTTATTTCTTCTATTGTTTGTTTGTTTATTAACACAGCCTAAATGTTTACTGTATTTCCGAGGCATGGCTTAGCAATTGCAAATTAAATGCAAAAACAGCGAGCAGACGAAGACGTGTTCGACAATTTATGCAGCAGCCAGTAACTGAATTAATTATACCCATCATACTTTTCGGTCTAGTCGCGTAGGGATGAAGCTGACCAARCGATAATGTTTAGTCAACGGACTGTTAATATCAACAACACCAATTTCATATGGTCATTATAATGCCGGTGCATTTACTGCAATYAATATTTATTTATTCGACATGGAAAGCAAGCCATCTGTGTGATAAGGGAGTGTTGCTTCAAAAAAACTATAGTGAAGGTCTATGATGCGATATTAAAACAAAAACCTTGCTATTGTTGGGTTGTCTCAATAGTGATGACCATGTTGTAAATCTGTTATAACATTATTGCTTTGTCAGACTAACAAAGTCAATCACCTCACCAAACAGACCACCATTATTGGAGCTGTAAAAGTTCATGAAGTATTAATGAATTTTATAAATGTGCTTATTCGCAGTATGTGGTGGTACTATAAAGAACCAATTACACGGCCAAATACACTTTCCGTATATTGACGTGTGGCCTACAACCTGTATATGGAAATTGGTGGCACCGACTACGAACACACTGATCTTATTCGTTTTGGAGTCACTTTATTTACAACCATCCTTTCGTTGCAGGTAAGGAACCATTCTGCATTATCATGTATATCTAAGAGGGTTAATACTCTTTTAATAAATTATAATGATCATATATTTTATGCATGAAGAGTCTGTGCATGCTTAGTCACATGTAGTCATACGATAAATCAAAATGACTTAATTCTATACACGACAGTKATTTGTTACAAATTAAATACCCACAAAAAAGATGCTTCTTAATTCTTCTCTAACTGCTTTTCTTAAGTGATTTCTACTTGWCCATTAAAGACGGCCAAGGAAACTCAGCRCAAGGCAGAATTTGTGGCTCAAGGAAGTCTCTGTCTTTTATCTCACTTGGTTTTACTGAAGTAAAACTTTATTTGAGAAGACCAATATGGTCGACTCATATGTCATCCTCTTTCTTCATGCTTGAAAATGGACTTGAAAATGGTAAGGGTTTCACTTTTCAATGTTTTTCAAATGAACTAAAATGTTTCTTTTTCACATTGATCTAATATTTCGTTTACACCTACTTGCGAAAACGTTGTCATAAAAAATAGGACATTTGTAATTTAGTAAAGAGGAATAAATGAAAAAAGACAAAAGAAGATCACTGAGGCTGAACGCTCTCTTTTGTCTTGTTTTAATTTATTCCTTTTTACTAAATATAAATGTTCTTTTTTCTATGACAACGTTTCTGCAAGTAGGTGTATGTCTTTCTCTTCTGACTTGTACATTGGGTCATAGATAGTAACGCTTCCTGGATATACTTAACATTGGACGTCATTTAATGACGACATTAACCAAGACATAATCCGATTTCAGAAACAAWGAAACTTGTACCACTCTGGTGCAACTAAACTTACTGCATTGCGTTTCAATGACATGATGCACTTTGACAAAAAAAGTCATTATGTGATATATAAAAGATAAACTACCATGTTTAGAAATAAAGTTCTGGAGTGRTCAAAGTGCATATATGGTTGTGCACATCTTTGAAACTTTGCAAYTGCTGTAATAATGTGAAAGATAGAGAGCTCATAATCATTTCATTGCATTTTG